TCTCAGTAAGAACAGCAATACAAGTGGTGGTTCACCACACCTAATTGGCTGATATCCACTTTCCAGGGCRGCCGAACAGTCACTTAGGGTTTAGGGTTCATCAACAGTCCCTTAGAGAGCTGAATAGAGCAACACACAATCGGAGGAGGGGAAAAAAACAGCCAAGCAGTCCCTACTCAGATTTTAGGACATTAATAGTCCATCGAAATAGTGCAAGAAGAGAACCATAAACAGGGAAACTTCAGTTCAGTACCTAGGTCACCTGAACTGTGAATAGGCAGTACACTCATGGACTCAATCTTCTCTGCAGGCCAGAACCCTTTTTCGTACATTTGGGATGGTTTTCTACAGTCTTCTTAGCCGAGCAACTCCAGTCACCAACACCTGGGCTGGAGGATAAAGAAGAAAAAACTTGTAGTAGAACCCTTTTCTGCGCTAGGAAGTTGAACAATCAGCTTTCTTGTAGCAGAACCCTACTCGGCAGTGGAGACTAACCGCAGCACTAGAGAATGCTTCCTCTTCCTTGTCTTCGAGCATCGGGACTATAGCTTCTACGCAGCAGTGGAGAGAGACCTCAGCTGGTTGTTTTCCAGGCCTGGTCGGTTCCACTCTAATACCATGTTGAGCAAAAAAAGAAGAAGAAGAAAGGAAGGAAGAAGAAGAAGGAGAAGAGAAGAGGCTGCAGACTTAAGGCCTCAAAAGAACTGCTTCATGCGAGTGAAGCATTTGTATTTATACTATAGTGGCCGTACAACACAAGAGGTCTACAAAAATTACAAAAAAAACCCTGCAGGCACTAAACCTGTGTACAGTACATACAATACATCTGTCAACATGCACAAGATCTTGTTAACATTCAAAAGGGAAAGAAGTCAATTGGTTGTAAATGGATGTTCATCGTAAAGCATCAGACAAATGATTATATAGAAAGGTATAAGGCAAGGTTAGTAGCTAAAGGGTTTTCTCAGATGTATAGTGTGGATTATAATGAAACCCTTGCACTAATGGCCAAGCTGAACTTAATTTGAGTTCTTTTATCTTTAGTTGTAAATTTATCATGGCCCCTTCATTAGCAAGATGTGAAGAATGCTTTTCTGAATGTTGATCTTGAAGAGGAGGTATATATGGTTTAACCCCCTAGATTTCAGCTTCAAGTTAGTGAGGAGAAAGTTTGTCACTTTGTTGTTTAAAAAAATCATTATATGGGTTCAAACAATCCCCTAGAGCATGGTTTGAAAGGTTCAACAAGGTAATTCAACAAGTTGGATTTGTGCAAATGTCAAGTTGACCACACATTGTTTGTAAAAAGAAGGGAAGATCTTGTTCCCATTTGGATTGTGTATGCGGATGACATTGTGATTATCGAAAATTGGGAAGAAGAGATTCAAAGGTTGAAAGAATTTCTAGCTTCACAATTTGAGGTGAAGGATCTTGGCCCTCTCAAGTACTTCCTTGGTGTGGAAGTTGTTCGATCTAATAAGGGAATCTTTATTTCTCAAAGGAAGCATATTCTTGTTTTATTGAGAGATTGGAAAATTGGGGAGTAAACCAAAAGTGAACCTTATGGATCTTAATCAAAAACTTGGAAATTGTGAGGGTGAAACTCTTTTAGATCTTCAACAGTATCAACTATCAAGGACTCATTGAGAGGCTACTGTATCTATTCATGACTCGGCCAAACATAGCATTTATAGTGAGTGTATTAAGTTAGTATATGCACTCACCTAAAAAGCCTCACTATAAGGCTGAAGAGAGGGTTTTGCATTCTCTGAAGAGACACCTTGATAGAGGCTTTCTCTTCACCAAACAAGGTCATGCTAGAGTGGAGGATTATAGTAATGCTGACTGGGCTGGTTTTGTTGATGATAGAAGGTCCACCACTAGTTATTGCACATTTGTTGGGGGCAATCTGGTTACTTAGAAGAGTAAGAAGTAGACTGTAGTAGCAAAGTCAAGGCAGAAGCCAAGTATAGGGCCATGTCTCAGGGATTGGCTGAACTTTTGTGGTTAAAGAATTTTCTTACAAAGTTGGGCATGCGGAATTCAGATCCAATGTCTTTATATTGTGACAAGTTAGCCATTATTATTGCTCATAATCCAGTTCCCCATGAGCGGACAAAGCACATTGAAGTTGACAAGCACTGTATTCGTGAGAAGGTTAAAAGGGGTGAAATATGTATACTATTTGTTGAATCAAAAGAGCAAGTGGCTGATGTTTTTACAAAAGGTGTGTCTACCCTCTGTCATGAAAAGCTATGTAACAAGTTGGGTATGCATGATATTTATAACCCAACTCGAGGGAGAGTGTTGTTAGAAGTGTTTCTGAAATGTGTCAATGATGCAGGGGATTTCTTGTAATTTCTTTTACTTCAAGGACTACCCTGTAAATATTTTTATTTAACAATATAATAGGGTACAATGGGCACTACCACTTACACATGAGATTTCTTTCTCTATGTTTAACTTTGTTTTGGAATGGTAGAATACTGATGTATTTCATTTTATTGCCAATCGGCCTATTTATACAGTAAGCTGCTGCAATAAATAGAAAGAAGAAAAAAATAGAAAGAAAAGAAAATAGAAAGTAGAAAAATAGAAAGAAAAGAAAATAGAAAGTACAAGAATAGAAAGAAAGAAATAGAAAGAAAAACCTTCTAAATCAATCCTTCCACAATCCTAGGAATATATACAAATCTATTTTTACACGACTACCAAATATAGATCTGCACCAGTAACCCCACGTTTTCCAACAAACTTCTATCTTCTCTCTTCTCTTCTCTTCTCTTCTCCTCCCTTGACTAAGACTTTATTAACAGATTGCAATAACAAAAGCTTGTTGCTTAACTGTTCATCTAAAAACCATAAACATTAAGAGCATACATACAAGAGAAACCAAGTTATCAAGTTATTACTGTATGAGGCTATGGGAAAACAAAAGAATGTGCAGTGAGTACCTCTGCATGCACAGTTACAAGAGTGTGCAGTAACTCAACAGCTGCATCTCGCACACCCTGAAATATATCACAATTCCATGAGACTCGTCAACCAAGAGGTGCCCCAAACCAGGGCTTCGGATAGAGAAAGAGATAAAAAAACCAACTATTGAGGCTTCTACTAATTCTTTACTTTGACAGCAGGTGCTCCACTCCATTGAACTCCAGCATCCAATAGATAGTTTACTGCAGCAGTTCTGATCAAATTTTCCTGATGAAAGACACATTGAAAGCAGCACAAAAAATTCATGAAAATTATTTGATCACAAGAGATAATAAAGCATTATCTTTTGGATTCTTGACTGCATGGATAATTTCTAACATACAAATATACAAAAAAAAAGCACCAGAAGTGATGATTATTTTTTTATTGATTCACGTTGAAGGAAAATTTCCCAATATTTTTTTCCTCAAATGGAAAAAAGAGTAGCTATATGTAGATAAATTTGGTCAACTTAACCAAAATTACAAGGCTGTGAATTCAATCCTAGCACTGTCCCCCAACAGCCAGAAACAAAGATTTTTTTTTGATAAATAACAGTAATTTCATTAAAAGATAAACTTTTTCTACAAATTTACATTCTGGTTTTATGGAACCCTTGGCCTTTTCCCCAAGTTTATGTTACAACTTTGCCCAGAACAGATGATTTCTTGGAACCCCTTTCTTAGCTAATGTATGAGCTACATAATTAGCTGATCTCTGAACCTATTACACCTTCACTGTCATAAAAGCTATTATCCATTTAATCCTTTTAATTTCATTTCTGTACACCCAAAGAGATTCTTGTAATTTATCAACCATCCTGTTACCACCTTGAATCCCCTTCTACTTCTGTATATTCAACACCCAAACACAATGTTGATCAAAGCATATTAATAAAATGCTAGTGCATGGACAATTCAAAGTTGCTGAGGCCAAAGTAACTGAATTTATGAGCACCTAGGATGCTTTGCTCACTGAACCAGTTTAAGGACAGTTAAAAATTAGTTCAGTGGAATGTATAGAATGCTATTTTCATCATCCAAAAAACGCTAAATGTCAACCCAAATATATGTTCCAAATCAAACCTGTAATAATATTGCAGTAGGATTTTTAGAGAACAAGATGAAATGAAGAAAGTTGCACGCCCTGGAAACAGCTTGCACAGTGTCACATAATCTAATAAGCAGATATGTTTTTACCCAGTTCAGATTGAACAATGCACCTACCTCCAGCCCATGAGATTTCACATTGTGAGGTATTTTCCCCCTTTGACTTCGTTTTTATAATAGTTGTATCACTGCAAAGTGGATTTCTAGTGGCATACCAAAACGCAAATGAGCAGTAGAATTTATTGCAACTCAGTTGAAATTTTAAATCTTGAAAAGGTCATTAAACCAAGAGCATCCCAAGGTATTGTACACAACCATAGATACAGTAATAACTGTTTCCCTGACCACAAGCTCTAGTTATCATAACCAAATGATTCCACCAATAAAACAATAAATAAAATGGAAAAAAGAGAAAACTCAAACAGGGATTTCTCCAATCAATTGAAAAAAAAAATACCTTTACGGAAGTATACTGTCCCAGGACCTTCTCTTCAAGTGTGGAAAAACACATTGCTAAATCTCGTACATCACTGTCTTCATCTTTTTCTCTGCAGTACCAAAGACTGAAGATGAGAATGCATAAATCTTCCAGCAGATAAGATGCTAAAACTAACTGGATTTTGAAGTGAACTTTACAGATAAATGCACAATGTCAGAGAGGTTAATAGTTTGTGCTAGGAATCTGCACTGACATCCCTCTACATAAGAGTTCATAACAGCGTATTATTGTTTTGTTAGAAATATCTGCGCTGGGGACCCGGTCTTGCCATTGCTGTCTTCGCTAATCCCTGAACTGGTTGCTTATGGACACTTTCCAGAGGTTCCTTTTTGTAGTCAAGGTGACATCTAAGGCCATGGTAGGAAATAGCAGTCATCTAGAGAAAAGGAAAAACTAAGAGTAGAGTGGAAACTGTAAGAGGCTAACAAAGTAAAATTGAACTTTGATGGCATCTCTTCAGGCAACTTGGGATTGGCAAGAATAGGTGGAACAATCAGGAACTTGGAAAGTAAAATTGGTGGCTCTATGTTCAGGGCCAATTTGCATTACAAACTCAGTGAAGGAAAAGTTATTGGGCAAAATGTAAGTGGTAGGGGTTTCAAAAGTAGTTATTTCTTGGGCAAAATGTAACAGACATATTCCATGGACTCTTGAACATATTTTCAGGGAAGTTGAAAGATTAGTAAAAGATATAAATGCTGATTTCAGGTGGATTAGAAGGAAGGCAAACGGGCTAGCAGATACTTTATTAGCAGAAATATTTAGATTAGAGCAGAAAGAAGGAAGGAAGAAGAGGAAGACAGCAAGAAGAAGAAAGAAAAATGGAGAAGAAAGGAGAAAGAAAGGAGGAGTTCGATAATCTCCTCTTTCCCCTACTCTAATCTTTTTATCAAACTTACTTAAGTTACATAGTTTACAAGGAGGCCCTTAAGTAGGCGTCCACATCAGCAATAAACTTAAAAAACAAAAACAGAAGCTAAAGGCCCATAAAGAAAGAAAGCCCAATAAGAAAACATAACAAGAAGGAACTAATAAGAATGACACTAAAGGACTAGGGCCCATTTGCCCAGTCTCTCTACACTCCCCCTCAAGCTGAGCACAGATAACAATCATGCCCAGCTTGCTTATATAGTGAACCAGCTTTCCTTTAGGAACACCTTTTATCAAAACATCAACCAACTATTCTCCAGAAGCAACAAATGGTAGGCAGACTTTTCCTGAGGCAACTCTCTCTCGTATAAAATTCCTGTCAACTTCAATGTGCTTAGTTCTGTCATGTTGAACAAGATTATGTGCAATGTTGATAGCAGCTTGGTTGTCACAATATAACATCATTGGCTTCTCAAAGTCTATACCCAGTTCTTCTAAAAGTGATCTCAACCACAAAAGTTCAAAAACTCCATGTGCCATTGCCCTGTTCTCCACTTCAACTGAGGATCTTGCCACTACAGATTGTTTCTTACTCCTCCATGATACAATGTTCCCTGCTATCATAGCATAATAACCTGAAGTGGACCTGCTATCATCAATACATCCGGCCCAGTCAGCATCAGTGTATGCTTCCAGCTTCATGTGTCCATGCTTAGCAAACAAGATACTTTTCCCTGGAGTCCCTTTTAGGTAGCACAGAACCCACTCAACAATTGCTAAATGTGTATCTCTAGGAGAATGCATAAACTGGCTAATTACACTAACTGCATATGAAATATCTAACCGAGTCATACAAAGGTAATAATAACTTCCCAACCAGTCTCTGGAACACTCCCTTATTAGGCAAAGGTTCACCCTCAGTAACTGATAGCTTATGATTTAAGTCTATAGGAGTAGAAGCAGGTCGGGCACCCAGTTTACTAGTATCTGCAAGAAGATCAAGAACATACTTCCGTTGAGAAATGAAGAGACCATCCTTAGATCTGGCAACTTCAATCCCCAAGAAATATTTGAGTTTCCCCAAGTCTTTAATTTCAAACTCAGTGTTAAGAAAACTTTTGAGATGAACAACTTCCTGGGTGTCGTTACCAGTAACTACAATGTCATCAACATAGACAATCAGAAGGGCCACTAAGGAATCTCTCCTCTTGACAAACAAGGTATGATTCGACTGAGTCTATGTGTACCCAAAAGCAACAAGAGCAGCCTGAAATCTGTCAAACTAGGGTCGAAGAGATTGCTTAAGGTCATAAAGGGACTTCTTCAGTTTACAAACCTTTCCTTGCATCTCCTTCCCATACACCCCTGGCGGTAAAGACATATAAACCTTTTCATGTAGGTCCCCGTTCAAGAAAGCATTCTTTACATCAAACTGATGAAGAGGCCAATCAAAAGATGTAGCTAAAGAGAGAAAAACTAGAACTGAAGTCATCTTGGCTACTGGGGCAAAAGTTTCCAAGTATTCAATACCATACATTTGAGTATGGACAAGGCTTCTGGGACTTAATAGTGAACACCCACTTACAGCCATCTCAACAGTACCATCAGAATGATACTTAATAGTAAACACCCACTTACAGCCAAACGGTTCCTTTCCCTCAGGCAAATCTACAATTTCCCAGGTATTGTTCTTATGCAGAGCATCTAGTTCAGCCATCATAGCATCCCTCCATTCTGGTTTGGACAAGGCTTCTGGGACAGATCTGGGAGTCACATGTGTGGAAATAGAGGCAAGAAAGGAATAGTAGGAAGGGGAAAGAAGGTTGTAGGATAGGTGTTTAGAAATACAATGAGCTGTACATTTCTGTTTGCCTTCGCGAAGGGCAATAGGGAGATTAAGGTCAGGAAGGTATCCGAAGTGGTAGAAGAGGGCTGACCTGTTACCTCAGTAGTGATAGGAAGAGCAAGAGGCACATCTGAAGGCATGGAAACAACTTGCATGTCTCTGAGTCTTTGTCTCTGGTCTGTACATTTCTGTTTGCCTTCGCGAAGGGCAATAGGGAGATTAAGGGTCAGGAAGGTATCCGAAGTGGTAGAAGAGGGCTGACCTGTTACCTCAGTAGTGATAGGAAGAGCAAGAGGCACATTTGAAGGCATGGAAACAACTTGCATGTCTCTGAGTCTTTGTCTCTGGTACCACTTTGGATAATAGGATGGGAAGGAAATGTGGGAGGATGAGCAGGAAGAGGGGGAGCAGGAACATGAGAAGAAGAGTCAATCAAGGACTCGATTGGAGGAGATTCCATAGAAGATTCAACGGGAATTGGAAGAGGAACAGATGGTGACAATGCAAACATCTCCTCTGAATGCTCCCCCTCGGGAGAAGTACCAAAGAAAGGAACAAACTCATCAAATGTGACATCTCTGGAGACAAAGCGAGTGCTACGAACCAGATCAAAACAAAGTATCCCTTCTGCGTGGAGGCATATCCCAAAAAGACACACTTGTGTGCTTTAGGCTCAAACTTATGTCTTTGATGACTGTGAACATTAACATAACAAGTGCATAAGCTAAAGGGAGTTTTGAACCCCAAAACGCGGTAAGGCATTCGGTTTATCAAGTATGTAGCTGTAAGGACAACATCCCTCCAAAACTTAACAAGAACATGGGAAGCAAAAAGGAAGATCCTTGCAACCTCAACCACATGCCTATTCTTCCTTTCCGCCACTCCATTTTGTTGAGGAGTGTAGGAATAAAAACTCTGATGAATAACACCAAAGGTATCAAAGTAGGAGGAAAGACTTTTCTCAAAATATTCCTTTGCATTATCAGATCGGAATATTTTGATCCGAGTGTTAAACTGGATAAGTATAAGTTCATGAAATTTCTGTACAATATTTGGTACTTAATCCCGGGATTTCATGAGGTAAATCCAAGTGCAATGAGAGAAATCATGAATGGAAAGAATGAAATATTTGTAACCCCCCATAGCAAGTAAATGATACCCACACGTCAGAGTGCACAATATGGAAAGGAGAAACAGATCTTTTATTACTCACTGAAAAAGATTGTCTACAATGTTTTGCAAGTTCACATGACTCACAATGAAGACTTGATAGGGATATCTCCTTAAACATTTATGGAAACAAATGACTCAAAGCAGAAAAAGACAAATGACCAAATCTGAAATGACATATCATGACTCTGTCAACCGACTCTGATAAAACAGACTCCAAAGCTACAAAACTAGGTAATCCAGAACTTTGATCAGAAACATCCAACAAGTATATCCCATTCGCCTCATGGCTACTCCCAATCGTCCGCTGAGACTTCAGGTACTAAAAAACACAATAAGTAGGAAAGAAGGTTATGCTACAGTTCATTGATTTTGTAAAACTACTAACAAATAAAAGGTTAGTGCTGAGTTCTACGATTACCTGAAGCTGTAGCATGATTTATAGAAGCACGACTACCTGAATGGGCAAAAGCGAATGTAGAGGGGGTGCCTGAGGAGGAAGATGCAACAGTAGACTCCAAGTGATGTATCAACTTCCCATCTCTCTCAAATTTTGCCTTCACTGTTGCCAGCTGTTCCACAACATATTTTTCTTCACTTTCAGATACTGTAGCAACATTTGCATTCTTGGGCTTTCTAGACTGACCACCCTTCTTAAAATTGTTGTTGTTTCGAAACCTTTCTGGAAGAAGATCTGGATGAAGTTTCCAACAAGAGTCCTTCGTATGTTTCAGCTTCTTGCAATATTCACATATCACCTCCTTTTCTTCATTTACCCCCTTTGGTTTTAATCCAACATGTGCAAAATGTTATAGGGGAGGTGGAGTCTGTAGCTGTACCTTTTTCCTGCTCTCTTTACTGCTCACCATAGAGTATGCCTGAGCAAGTGACACTTCATCCTTGGCCAGAATATTTTGCCTTGTAATATCAAATTCAGGATTGAGTCCTGTAAGGAATTCAAACACTCTGTTTCTTCCCACAAATTTTCTGAAAATTTCTGCATCTTTGGTGCTTTCCCATACGAATGCTTCCAATAACATCTATCTCCTGCCATAGTGACTTCAACATCAAATAGTAGACA